TTTTATTTTCCATCCTTTCCACTCACTCATTTTTTTTAAAGCCATTTTTGCTTAGATTGCCCATTTTTGGGTTTTCAACCTAACTAGCATTGATTTATTTTTTTTTTTTTTTTGAAAGAAAATAGTGCCAGTTTACAAGGTATGAAACATAAATACGTACCAATGAGTAACTCCCCCACACTTAGCTCGAAGCACTGTCCCTAGTGCTTGTCTCCGTCATTTCAGGCAGAAATGGGCATCCTCATAGCCCGGAATTGGTTCCCTAGCATTGGAACTTTCGGTTGGTTCCTCTTTGGTGCTATCTTTGTCCCTTTTTTTTTAGCTTGGATTCGGACTTGGGGTTGTTGGGGTGGGATCTCGGATTTTTTTTTTTGGTTTTTTGGGGAGAGGGTAGGAGCGATGGGTATGAGTGTGTAGAGGAGTGTAAAGGGAGAATTGTGGTGGTGATTTGGTTGAGGTATTGGGGGAGTAATCGAAGCTTGAAATCTCGGATTTGGGATGAAATTTGGAGCTGGATTGGTTAAAACCTCGTGTACCCGATCGGGTGGCCTGATATACCCGATCGGGTAATTTAATTCGAAGGATATGCTGGCTTTCCAGATTAATTCACCCGACCGGGTGACTCGAATACCCGACCGGGTATGACGTCGTTTTTTTTTTTTTTTTTTTGAAATTTCGCTCCAAGGGTTCTCACCCGATCGAGTTTAAGGGTTACTCGATCGGTTTTTTTAATTCGAAGAAAAAACTTAACATTTTTGGAATTATACCCGATCGGGCCTTCTGGACACCCGATCGGGTATCCTCTTAATTCATTTCTTCCCCTCGATCGGGTCTCCTCCCAGCCTGCCTTTTCACATGTACCCGATCGGGTATAGTAACGAGACCCGATCGGGTACATTACTCTTGGGGAAAATTTTGTCCAGTTTTAACCTCTTTTTAGCGCGGATCCGATCGGTTAAGTGATGAAGACCGATCGGAGGTTTTCCCAGGCTTTCAAAACATGATTTTCCCTTATTTTCTTTTGAGAATTCTCCCCCATTTTCTCAAAGTTGACATTCAAAAGCAAGAATTTGAAAAGAAAAGAAGAAAAATGCGTACCTTGACTTGGGTTGCCTCCCAAGAAGCGCCTTAGTTAACGTCGTGGCACGACGTTATTATTTATTTTTATTTTCCATTTTAAGTGGGATCATGAACATCCCTTTTTTCCTGCTTCAAGGCCCTGTTTGGCCGTGTTTCAATTTTATTTTTCAACCTTTTCCAGTAAGGCTGAACTTTCTTCCTAGTCACCACCTCAACAGTAGGTGGTTTTCCTTTCAAAATAGATTTTTGGGGTTCTTCTTTAACAAAAATATTCAGTGTTGGTGGTTCAAAAACATTTAAAGAACAAAGAGATTGATTTTTAATTTGTTTTTTAGTAGAATCAAAGATGTTGAATTCTACTTTTTGGTTATCAAATTCTATTGTTAATGAACCACTAGACACATCAATTTTTGTTTTGGCGGTTTTCAGAAAAGGCCTTCCCAAAAGAATGGGTGTTGTTTGGTCATCATCCCCCATTTCAAGAACATAGAAATCAACAGGGAAAACCAAATTTTCTACTTCTACTAGCACATCTTCTATTACACCTTTCGGGTAAATATTAGATCGATCCGCTAGTTGAATCACTACACCAGTTTGATGTAGTGGGCCGAGTTGTAAGGATTTATACAAGGAATAAGGAATGACATTTATTGATGCTCCCAAATCCAACAAGGCCTTAGAAAATACGGTGTTCCCTATTTTGCAAGGAATAGTGAACATGCCCGGGTCGCTACATTTTTCGGGTAGTTTCTTTTGAAAAAGGGCCGAAACATGTTCACTCACCTTAACCTCTTGTTTTCTCTTCACTTTATTTTTTGTTTTTGTTTTGCATAATTCTTTTAAAAATTTAGCAAAACGGGGAATACTTTTAATCGAGTTAAGGAGTGGAAGGTTTACCTCACATTTAGAGAAAGTTTCATAGATGTCAGCATCTTTGTCAAGCTTCCTTGTCTCCCTCAATGCCTCGGGAAATGGGGCCTCTAGTTCATATGATGAATGTGGAGGCAGTTTTGCCTTTGTGATTCCATCCTCCGGGTGAGCTTCTTCGCGATCAGCTTCCTCGACCTTTTGATCATCCACCTCCTTCATTGTCGTATCACTTCTCAACATGATTGCGTTCACATGTTGTCTCGGGTTTTGCTCCGTTTGAGACGGGAGTTTACCCGAGTCCTTAGCTTCAAGTCGGCTTACGGCATTTGAAATTTGGCTAACTTGAGTTTCCAAATTTTTAATGCTTGACTTTGTCTCATGTTGGAATTGTATCATGGTTTGTTGAAATTGTCCCATGCTTTGTTGCATGGTAACCATGTTTGAAGTCAAAGCTCTTATCATGTCATCAGTTGACATATTAGGTTGAGAATTTGAGCCTTGATTGTTGACAGGTGGTTGAGAAGATGGGTTGGATTGTTGGGGGTTTCCATACCTCAAGTTTGGATGATCTCTCAATCCTTGGTTGTAAGAGTTGGAGAATGGGTCGTACCTCCTTTGTTGATGTCCTTGGAAACCCAAGGCGTTGACTTGTTCTAGATTGTCTTCTTGAAGAGTTGGGCATGAGTCTGTGGGGTGCCCCTGTTGTGTGCAAATGCCGCAGACCTTGACTTCTTGGGTCTTGGATTTTAAGAGGAAATCCTTAACCAAAGAAGTCAAGCCGGCAACTTGACTCTCCAGTGATGATGTCGATTCTGCAGCGGCAACTCTACGAGTTGAGGATCTGCGACCGAATTGCCGTGAGTTCTCGGCCAATTCCGAGATAAGATTTATAGCTTGTGAAGGAGTTTTATTAACAATGCCGCCTCCACAAGCGGCGTTCACCATTCTTCTATCATCATCAACAAGACCATCATAAAAGTATAAGATGAGGTCTTGTTCTGAGTAGCCATGATAGGGACAACTAGAACATAGCTTCTTAAATCTTTCCCAAAATTCATATAAGGATTCATCATCCTTTTGCTCGATGTTGCTTATTTGCTTTTTGAGAGAAGATGAGATGGAAGCAGGATAATACCTATCGAGGAAACACTTCTTCATTTGTGCCCATGTGTTGATGCTTCCCGAAGGAAGATAGAAAAGCCAATCCTTCGCGGTATCTTTCAAGGAGAATGGGAAGGCTCTCAGTTTTATTTGCTCTTCTGTGGCACCGTTTGGGCACATGCTTGTGCAAACGATGTGGAACTCCGAAAGATGTTTATTCGGGTCTTCTCCTCTCATGCCATGGAAAGATGGCAATAAATGTATGAGCCCAGATTTCAGCTCAAATGTATTACCTTCATCAAGAGTAGGAAAGGTAATACATAATGGTTGTTGATTCAAGTTTGGAGCTGTGAGCTCCCTCAAGGTCCTTGTCTCGAGAGCCATGTGGAATGACTCTTCGGATTCGCTAGAGCTAGAGCTAGCGTTTGAGGATTCCTCCGAGGGTGTGTGCGGAAACAAATTTCTCAACCTCTCGAAGGCTTGCTCTATTTCGGGGTTTGTTTGGTAAGTAAGCTCATTTATAGAACGGGTTTTTACCATATACTCATGTAAGTTCAGAAATAGAAAAAGTAAGAACTCTTTATATTTTATTTATTTAATTTTTTTGTTGATTTTTCTTGAAATAAAATAAAAAGAAAAATAATTGCCTTTCCCCGGCATCGGCGCCAAATTTGACGTGCACTTTGTCGTGGTGTGCACTCAAAATAATAATAATACAATACAACAATTATACGTAGTATAACGAAGTAAGGTTCGTATCCACAGGGAAAGGAATACTTTTCTTTTTGTAGAACTAGTAACAAAATGGGGGGCTTTAGTTTGATTTGGTTTAATAAATTAAACACGAAGATGAACGAGTTATGTGGTTTAATTAATGAGAAGAAGACTTGACTTTGCTTTTATCCACTTAATGAAATGTTCGTCGATCCCGGTTATATCTTTAACTATCTTCCTCTCGAATACTCAATCGAGGAGTATATCCAGTTCATCGAGGGTAGTTATTAATAACGAGACGCGTTCATTAATAAAACTTACTACCGAGTCAATATAGAACAAGCGCCGTATATTAACTTGATAGTAGCAATAAAATCAAGATGAAAATGATTGAGATTGATAACCTCAACACAAGCGGTTTATTGGTTTAATCAATATAATTAATTCCCCTTGGCTTATTAATCATGAGAAGCATGCATTAACAACCCAAGTTTACTACCATTGAAAGAACCGAATTAATAACAAGCGTATTAACCGATTGATTCTAGTAATAATTAATATATGAAACAAAACTAGTTGATCCTTTAAGTAATGTTCAAAATATTAATATGAAATATGAATAGTAATTAATTAATACTCAAGGAAGAATATTAAAGAAGATGAATCCTACTATAGTTAATATCAAGATGTTAACTAATTGTCATCTTAGTAACACTCCCCAATATTAACATAGAGGAAGAAATAGCTATTACTATAACTAATGTCAAGATGTTAACTAATTGTCATCTTAGTAACACTCCCCAACATTGATATAGAAATAGTATTTAAAGGAAGAATTAATATTCAAGGAAGAAGATTAAAGAGAATAACTCACAACTTACAAATTCATTAAGCTTCAAAGTAGTAAAACCAAGATGGAAGAGTTTAGCTCCTCATTTGGAGACTAAACATGATAAAAATATAAAGAAAGTACTTAACTAACCTGAGCTAAAGAGTATATGTGAATTTTTTTTTGATTTTATTGTGAAGGAAAGGGGTGTATTTATAGGCTTTTGGGAGCTGCAGGGTCTGATACCCGATCGGGTATATAGGATACCAGATCGGGTATTTTAGGAAATTGCCCAGAAACTGAAAAATAAGGTCATACCCGATCGGGTCTGTCGGTCACCCGATCGGGTATGACAATCGAACATGGCCAAAATCTTTCCCGCATGTTGCTCGGTTCCCGGGTTGATCCGATTTGATTTTTCAGAAGGGTACCCGACCGGGAAAAGGTCATACCCGACCGGGTACAGACCAAAAACGAAATCTTCACTTTTTGTCTTGCATTTTTGCACTTTCCTTCCACTTGTGGTGTTCACCAATGGTCCCCAAATTGTTCTTGGACCTGTTTGAGCTCAGAATAAACCTAATCTAAACATATTACAAATATTTTACAAACTAAACTATTACATCAAAAGTGTGTAATTTCCAAAGTAACAATCACTCTAAACTAATTAAAAACACAAATTTAAATATGGAAATTACATGAATGTCAACCACCCCTTGCTCCAACCCTAGCACCAGCCCTTGAACCACCCCTAGTAGCACCCCTTGAACCACCCCTAGCTCCACCCCTTGCAGCACCACTTGAACCACCTCTTGCAGCACCCCTTGAACCACCTCTTGTAGCACCCCTTGAACCACCTCTTGCAGCACCCCTTGAACCACCTCTTGAACCACCCCTTGAACCACCCCTTGCAGCACCCCCTGCAGCACCCCTCCCAGTAGTAGCACCTCTCCCACCACCTCTAGCAACTGGCCCTCCTTGGCATGACCTCTTGTTGTGCCCAAAAGATAGACACTTAGTACACTTCTTCTGACTAATTGATTGTGTCTCAGTCTCATCATGGCCCTTTATTCTATTGTTTTTAGGTCTCCCGGGGGCTCTTGAAAGCTTAGGTGGCAATAGAACCTCATTTCCCTGCACAGTTTTTAAAATAATGGTTACTAATGATTCTGGAATGTATCAATGTATATATTGGTTTTAGATTTGTGGTCATACTACCTCAGGCCAATCACTTTCATGTGATATTGGTTTAATGTTTGTTTGATAGCATGCTTTGTAGGCCTTCACACACAGTAATGGACTACAAAATCTATAAGCAGCAAGATGAAGTTAAATACATAACAATCTTTGAGTTTCAATTAAAAAGTTAAACAAAAAAGTAAAGTAAAGGTAATAGGAACATACTGAGGTAGTGGCAGTCTCAAATGGCTGATCAAATGCACTGCATGTACACATGGTATGTGATGGATAGTCTACCCGGGGGGTATCTTATCCGAGGGGTTATTACGGGAATAAATAGAGAGAAGTCAGAGCAAAGTAGGAGGAGAGAGAGTCGATTTATTAAATGAATTCAGCGTGTAAGAGATCCATCCTTTACAAGGAGAAATAGGCTGCTATTTATAGCAGCAATAAATGCGATGAGAGTACACATGTCAGTAATCCAACGGCCGAGGGGTCACATCAGCCGGGTGGCACCGGCAGTGGTACGTTCACCGCATTGAATGCGGTTGGCGGATGTGACGTGGCATTAAATGCGGTGGTTGGCTGTCTCCAAAAGGAATCTTCGATGATTGAGCATGTTTGACCGAGGGCTCCTTGTGTAGCCGAGGGCTCCATGTGATCAAGGACCCCAGTATAGCCGAAGGCCTCGTGTGACCGAAGGCTTCTCTAACGCCGAGGGCTTGATCATGCCGAAGGCTCATGTTTTTTGCCGTTTTCTCCTAGTAGCTTCTTATTCCAGAGAAGGCTATCCTGTGAGTTTTGGAGCCTTCGGCCAAGGAGGCCGAAGGCACCTCAGTGTGTATTCTGGGCTACTTTGAGGCTTGGGCCGTTGCATTTGGGCCTGAGTTGTTCTCTGGGCTCAATGGACTTGTGCAGGAGAAGTAGGAGTCTATGGGCCGGGGGGTTCCTGGGCCATATACTCCATCAGTATGCCTGTGACCTGCCACTCACAACACTCACACTCTTGTTTGTTTAAGTTAATAATCCAGTGCTCCCTAGTGAATTTTCTCACACTGAAAGTCCCTTCACCTGAAGGGCAAGTCACATAATCATTTTGCTTCTCCTTATAAGCTGCCATTATTGCACCAACCCTAGGTACCACATCATTCTCATTCCAAGTACTAGCCTGAAGTTTCCTATCATACATAATCTTCATTAACAGGAATGATATACCTATTATCATTGAACACACTGGTTTATCCCTTTGGCTTAATATGAAACTGTTATAGCTCTCTGTGAAGTTATTTGTCAGGTGGTCACTCTTACATGTTGTATCAAAATGTGCCCTTGACCATAACTCTGGACCAATCTCCAATAAATAGTCCTTGATACCACCAACTGCTGCCTCATCCAATCTCTGAAGACTTCTTTCAAAGTGGACCTTTTTATATGCTGAAGCAGTAGCCCAGGCCAGTTCCTTTATGTGGTCCCCTTTCCACCACTTACTCATATTCTTGAAGATGTGTCTAAAGCAGCTTCTAGGATTGCAGCCTCCCAAATGTGTCTGAACACTACTTATGATTGCTTGAGCCCTATCAGATGTGACTGTAAGTGGCAAAGGATGTTTCTTCAGCTCCGGAGCTATTAATGCTAGAAACCTGTCCCAATTCTCACCATCTTCTTTTATACAAATGAAGACTGCTAGCGGAAAGAGCCCATTATTCCCATCCATGCTAATAGCTGTTAGACAGACTCCTCTATATTTCCCCTTTAGAAAGCAACCATCCAACCCTACTAGTGGCCTGCACCCAGTTCTCCACCCTTCCATGCTACACCTAAAAGCAACACATAAATATTGAAATTTATTTTCAGAGTCATACTTGCACTCAACCAAACTATCAGGATTGGAAGCTAGAATCTGTCTGCACAATTCAGGAACTTGAGTATAACTTTTCTCATAATTTCCATGGAGCTCTTCAAGTGCCATCAGCCTAGCATTCCAAGCTTGCCAGTATGAAATGTTTAAAGTCCACCTACTCCAAGCTATAGCAATGATATCTTGGGGTATGTAACTCTTATGGTGCAGCCTCATGTCCTGAGCCAGCATACTAGCAATCCATCTAGCATTTGCTCCTCTATTCTTGTTCCTGCCATCATTCTCACAGGTATGTTCTTCTTGGAGAGATTTCAGTTCAGTCGTGTGCCCATCATTTTTTCTAATAACATAACACCTCCAAGGGCATCTTTCCCCTTTACACCTCAATATCAGCTTATCAGCACAATTCTTCTGAAAATAAATCTCAAATTTATTCTTGATGGCATACATTCTGATGTATTTTCTGCATGCATCCATAGTCAGCCATTGTTTTCCTATTGCCAACTCTAATTTGTCTTCCCATTTCACAGAATCTGAGCAAGTAAATGTTTGCTCATTGCAGTCATAGTCTTTGTGTGGCATACCATTCAACACCTCACCTATATCCTCCCCATTTCTTGTGCCTTGAACTTCATCTGTATCACTCCCTTCTTCTGTATCAGAACTACAATGATCTAATTCCTCATCTGATTCATTAGGATCATCTGATTCATTCAGATCATATCCATCTAGCCCATCAACAATTTGCTCAAATTGAATACCTATATAGCACATTACAATAACATCTATATCAACAATATAAACAAGGGTAAAGAAATCATTTACTAAAATTGATATATAACACAACATAATGAATTTATATTGAACCATGTAAACTGCATATACCTTCATAAAACTGTGATGTATTATCATCATTAACATTCACAAAGTTGTTGAGTGGAGGTAATTCAATGAATATATCACCAAAATCATCACTAGCTATTCCTTCATCTCTGCTACTTTCATGGAATGGTACCCTAACTGGAGGTGACAAATTCATATACTAATCTTAATAACCAAAAACCACAAACTAAGTATCTCAAAGTAAGTATAACAAAATCTTTATAAAAGAGTCTTCATAATCAAATTTCAAGACCTAAGCATCAACCAACTTACTTGGAGCAGGTAAAGAGTCCAACTTTCTCTTCACAGGCAGCTTTGATGTCCTCTCAATCCTTTGCTCAGTCGTTCGAGTAGGTACTTCTGAATCCACCCATAGGTTCTTGCAAGCTTCAGAGTTATATCTATTGCTTTCATTCATCCCAATCCTATTTCGTTCACTCGCACCTTGCGAACAATAGAGAGAAACAAATGACCGTCTGAGAAACAAGAATGCCAACGAGTATGGTTGTTACTGAGATCAGGGCACTAGCGTCATTTCAAGCCAAAGTTAACTTCCTAACTGCTGACTAACGGTTGGAGGGTGTAAAGGCTAAGGATTTTAAAATTAGGGTGCATAGACCAATTAGGGGTATAAAACAGGGTGCAAACCCTAAATAACCCAAAAAGAAACTCAAATTTAATAAAAGATGAATATGTAAAAAAAAAAGATGAGAGACTTTAAGTTGACAAAAAAAACAATGGACCATTAAAAAAACGCTCAAAAAAAGTGAAAAACTCTTTGGCTCTATAAAACCACAGAGAATCTTGCCTCAGTAACCACTCACGATCAGCTTTCTTTTTATAGTAGTGGTGAGAGAGAGAAGATAGATATTAAGAAATGGCAGAAAACAGGGAAGAAGATGTGAAGCTGGGAGCGAACAAGTTCAGGGAGACACAACCGCTAGGGACGGCGGCTCAATCGGACAAGGACTACAAGGAGCCACCGGCAGCACCGCTGTTCGAGCCGGGGGAGCTGAGCTCGTGGTCCTTCTACAGAGCCGGGATCGCCGAGTTCGTCGCCACCTTCCTGTTCCTCTACATCACCATCTTGACCGTCATGGGCGTCAAACGCTCCGACGGCCTCTGCAAATCTGTGGGTATTCAGGGCATCGCTTGGTCCTTCGGCGGCATGATTTTTGCCCTTGTCTACTGCACCGCCGGTATCTCAGGTCCGTCCATTTTTTTCTCTGTTCTTTTTTATTAAGATTTCAATGGTCTTATTATTTAGAAGGAAATTTAATGATTCCTCGATAGAATAGATTCTTCTTGAATTACGTTTAATTGAAATATTTGTCTTCTTTCAAGTTTTCTGATGCACTTATCCTGAATGATTGGATTGAAGTCCTATTTAATTACAGCATTCCGATTTAGAAATTTCTCATAGGACTAAAATTAAATATGCATAAAATTCAAAAATAAACTAAGTATGTTTATTTTGTAAACAAGAATTGTTTAATCCTACTAAAAGAATAAATTGTTTAAAATAAGTGTGATTAAGTCATATTTTGAAAATAAAACAAAAAGAACCCTATTTGTGAACTTAATTTTGTTTTAGTCCTATTTAGAGAATTTTCTCAACTTATTTCTTCTTGATTTGTCACACAAGATTTGTACGGAGTAGTAAATATTAATTTTATATGAATAATGCAATTACACAAGATTAATTCGTATAAATAAGTTTTGCCACCCAATTTAAGGTGAAGTGTAAAGACTTTTCTCAATCATTTATAATATTTCCTAAACAGTGCAAATATTTCCTAAAAACAGTGCAAAAATACAAACACGGCAAATATTTCCTAAAAACGTTAGGTACATAAAAGTTAGTTAATGAAATGTCTATCGTTAGTTTAACGGTCTTCCATTTTTTTTACGAGTATAAAAGAAAATCTATGATGTCAAGCACATGGACACGTTATGAGTCCTTTATTAACTCTTATTTTCATTTTATCAATCTTACTAATCAATATTTTTATGAAACATATGACAATTGATTTGTAGTGTTGAATTTAGAAATAATTAAAATCAATAAGATTGAAATTACTTTTCTAGTTTGACTGGTTTGATTATGCAAAAATAATGGGTAAAAATACAATTGGGCAGGAGGACACATAAACCCGGCAGTGACGTTCGGGCTGTTCTTGGCGAGGAAACTGTCATTGACTCGGGCGGTGTTCTACATGGTGATGCAGTGTCTGGGGGCAATATGCGGGGCGGGAGTGGTGAAAGGGTTCATGAAGGGGCCGTACGAGCTCAACAAAGGCGGCGCGAACATGTTGAGCTCGGGTTATAGCAAGGGCGCTGGGCTCGGCGCGGAGATCGTAGGCACTTTTGTCCTTGTTTACACCGTCTTCTCCGCCACCGATGCTAAGAGAAACGCGAGGGACTCCCATGTTCCGGTTAGTCCCTTCTTTCTAGTTCTCAGTTCTCGCTTACGACTTCTTTGGTAGAGTGATTTTGAGGTCTGCATTAGAAATTTAATATGGCTTGGTATGCAGTGAAATAAAAATTGTGCAATTATACTTGAATAAACTCATCATCAAATAATTGTTTTTTATTTGAAAATATTAAGTGGAAATGAATTAGCCAAATTAGTTCCCGTTTTATAACCAATTTGTGGCCTTATTGGTTAGCAATTTTCTAACAATATTGTGAAGTAAGTTTACAATCAAATCACGAGCCTGCTCGAAAACAAAACAACTGCCAGGGGAACCTCCCGCCTTAGCTAAAGCATGAAAACTATGTTTTTTACTTCGTGAAAAATTGTGTAATAGTTAAAATTCATAAAAATTGTGTAATGGTTAAAATTCAATTATAGAATTTTTTGTAATTTTCTTTTTACCTTTTTTAAATGCGGAGTATTAACCAATTTAGTACTTTATCCAATTTTAATACTCCGTATTAACATATGGATTTAAAAAGGATGACACATCATCCGGAAGACACATCATCATTTTATATATTTCTATGTATTTTTACATAATAACATCTCGATTTCATCGTACTTATCAGAAATTTACCCTTGATAACACCCCTCTCCATTATTTTAATAACGTGCGACGACTTCATTCTTTGATTGAGCAGTGAGGTTCCTTATGTGAATAGAATACGGAGAATCAAGACCTAAAAATGTACTCCTATTTAACCTATCCTGCTCTACCGTGTAGAGCTTGTTTGGTGGCCTTTTTTGGGCAGTGTAGAGTTTTTTACTACGGCTTCGTGGAATTTCAAAAGTTTTTGACTCATCTAACGTGTGTAATGCAGAAATATCTCCTCATATACTCTGTATAAATTTTCTCCGCTGGCCCTCGTAATTTTAAAAAAGGTCAAAACTCCTTGCTTTTGTAACTAATCATGAATATCATATCCTTGAAATTTAGTAGTTTGGAAATCACAGTATCTTAGTATTTTGATTAAAAGTCCGTTTTGTGTCTCAGTTCAGCTAATCCGGGTTATTAACTAACTTTTTAACCAAATACATAAATTTTGATTTCGCGCGCTAAATTATGTAATAATAAGAAAAAGTAAAGTTGGAGTTAGTTTTGTGTCTGTATCAGCTGAAGTTATTGTAGATAACCATTTTAGCTATTTTTCATATAAATATTTATTTATTTAATAATAAAATATTATTTAATAATAATTATTTTGTCATAAATCAGCAGAATCACTCAATACAGTCACTTCAGCTAGAACTTCAAAAATTTCAGCAGAATCAACCGATTTTAGTATTACCAAATGGGCTCTAAACATCAATACAAATTTTTTATTCGACAAAAGTGGTTTTTTAGAACAAAATTGCTTTGCACAAACAAAATTGTCTCTATACAAACAATTCGTTTAGAAATAGAGAACTTCTTTTCATACAAATAACTTTGTCTTCATATATAGAAAGTGTGCGTATACTATACAAAAATGCAAAGTGGGCATACTTATTTTCCTAAACGCTATCATTTTTTAAAAGAAAAAATTGAACCGGCCAAACAATCCACCTAATGGATGGAATGGGTGGGGACTATGTAGTGATAAGAACAATTCATAAAACCGTGGACTTAAAATGAGGGGAACAGCACTTGGGTTGGGTAGCGTCAGATGACGTGTCTCCCCATGCTTGGTTTGGCAGCGCTTTTATCATTGGACTTTGTGGGTGCTGTTTCTTTCATCACTCTGGTCCCACAAACCAACCATGCTTGTAAATCCCACATGATATAGGTAGGGACCCTCGGACTAGCCGACTAGGCCACCGGCCATTAAAAAAAAAATGTTGTTTTCATGACTCAAATAATGTCGGAAATGGTGTTTTTTTGGGTAAAAAATGGTGTTTTAATGTTGTTTATAAAGAAATCGCTTCATATTTTATTTAATTTTTGTTATTTTTTTTGATGTATTTAAAATTTTATTACATTTTTCATTTTTTTTGTAAGTTTTTTCTTTTAAAAATACTCAATTATTATTACCCTTTTTTTTACCTTTTATCTTATTTTTCATACTCTTACATTTTTTTCCTACTTTTTCTACATTATTCATTACCTTTACTATATCACCTTTAAATAATGTGTGCTCAAACCTATTGTAGTGAACATTAAAATAGTAGATAATTATTTGTATACAATTTTTTTTTTCATTTTGTAAGAAGATTGTGTGGCCATTGACGATATTTTTTGTCTGTAGTAAATCACTTTGTTTTCTTATTCGTCAGGTAGCTCGTCTGATTCAAAAAATGCTTTCAACCTTCATGTGTTACTACGCTGATAACATAGAAATCATTATAATTATGATGCTGATAACCGCTTTTATGAACAAATTTAATAACTTAGAAATCATTTATCTTAATACTATGATTGAATATGCAAATAAGTTTGTCGAAATCTCTTAATTGTACAAAAATATTAATAATTTTCTTTTATTTGATAATTAAATGAGTTCATAGAAGGGGTTTTGGGTGTGAATAATTATAACACAGGAGAGCTTTATGCATTTTCAGAAACACAGAAATTTGGTGCATTAAACCCGAATAACATTATTATATAATACGGAGAAATAGAATTAAAAAACCACAAACTATTTGTCTAACGGAAGTTGCATCGTATTATTACTTCAAAAAAATGTTTTCTTGTTTTTTGATTTCTTCGTCGTATTATATTTTGTAAAAACACGGGGAGCAATTGACAATTTTAACTTTTAAAAATGAGATAAAGTAAGATAACTAGATAAGTTCAATTAGGGGTGGGCATGGGTCGGGACGGTTCGGGATTAGGGTTATCCCGGTCCCGTCCCAATTAATAATAACGGGACGGTACGGGACAAGCCTTTGTCCTTGTCCCATTTAAATCGGGACCGGGATGGTTCGGAACAGTTCGGGACGGTTCGAGACGTCCCAAACTAACAAAAAATAATCATTTGTAATTAATATATATTAGCATTTTTAAAGTATCATGCACCAAAATATTAACATTTTAAAAGTTAATTGATGTTCATCACAAGCTAAAAGCTACTACGTATTAGATTTTAGTTAGGTTTAGCAAAATTTGAAATTTAAATTTAAAACAAAGCAAAAATGAATTAGTTTATTCAAAATCATGTGTTCTAGTTGTGAGATACTCATATGTAGATATATAAAGTGGGATAAAGATCTATGTTAGTAAATATTCATGTTAGGTATTATTTTTAATTTAAAAATTGGACTTGAAGAACTAAAAACATGTTACCATTTATTTTTTGAGTTGACATTACACACTAGTCACATGCTACAAAATCTATATAGGTATTACAAACGGGACAACGGGACGGTTCGGGATAACCTTCCAATGTCCCGGTCTTGTCCCGTTTTAAACCGGTACGGGACCGGTGCGGGACAAAATCAATGAGACCCAAACGGAACGGGACAACACCGGTACGGTTTCGGGATATACCGGAATGGGACAACGGGATCGGGATTCTTGCCCGCCCCTAAGTTCAATAATCATACTCCCTCCATTCTCTAATACATATCTCTCTTTACATTTTGTGTTATTCTCCAATACATGTCTCTCTTTCCATTTTTAGAATATTTTTTCAATAAATATACTCTTATACCTTCATTCTCTTTCCTATCTTATACCCACTATACTTTTTGTCTTACCCCTATTAATTTCTTCTTAAATCTTGTGCCAAAGGCTATAGATAGAGCCATCTATTAGAGAATGGAGGGAGTACTACATGCTAGTATAATATAGTGAAATGATAAATAAAAGTATAGTGGAAAAACAAAAAGTTTGTAAAAATCAATAAAGTATACTATCGTATGTATGATGAAGAGAATAGTTGATTTCAGTTCTTGTTATATGTCCCCACTCTATACAAAGTTACAAACTTTGATCAAAAATAGTTTTTACTAAATTATTGGCAAGCTACTAAAAAATCACTGCTTCTAATGAATGGATAAGAATGAAAGTACAAAAGTCATTTAAATGGGTATTACGGAGTATTAAAAGTTAAAACTCGCTACAAAATTAAAAAAGAAAAAAACAAGATTTTTTTTTAGTACGATAAAGCATAAATATTAGAAATGCGCAATTTCATCCGTCTCTTGAGTTAACCAACTTTGACTTGCACTTGAAATCATAAATGTAAAGCGTGATTGACATTTGTACTAAAGAGAGAAATAATATACTTTGTATGAATCAAAAATTCCTTTTTATGTATAAAAAACACGTGAATCGGAAATTATTATTACCTTCATCTCACTAACATTGAGATATAATGAGGTGATACGGTTATTAAGAAAAGTCAATTTATGTGGTTGATATTGAATTGATAAAGTATGAATAAAGTAAAAATGCTTAGATCCACACAAATTTTATCAAACTTGATATTAGACAATCTAAGTTGGATATCCTAAAAAGAAAAATGAGACAACCTTAACGGGAACCGATTGCAAGTGATGGAATAAAATGGTCAAAAAGAGTAATAAAGTTTTGGGAAAGAACTGGGCGTTTTAACAAGGCACCGACTGCAAGTGATGGAATAAAATGGTTTGGTACGTCGTGTGTGTGCAGATATTGGCGCCACTTCCAATAGGATTTGCAGTGTTCTTGGTTCATTTGGCGACCATCCCGATCACCGGAACAGGCATAAACCCAGCCCGAAGCCTCGGAGCAGCCATCATCTATAACAAGGCCGAGGCTTGGGATGACCACTGGATCTTTTGGGTCGGACCCTTCATTGGAGCTTCCCTTGCTGCTCTCTACCACCAGATCGTTATCAGAGCCATTCCTTTCAAGACCAGGGCTTGATAAATCAAATATTTTAAGTACCACTTAAGTTGCACTTTTTTCTTACCCTTTTCTGAGAAGGTATGTAATGTACTCTTATGATGTTGAATGTGGATGTATTTTTCTGTTTTATGTTCTCAGTTGTGTAAATTACTACACCTTATTTTGTATGGACTTCTATTTCTTGCTCCCTTCTAGTCAAAAATTTGATATTATACCTATTGTTATTTAGTTATAAATACTTTGAATTTCATATTTGTATATATACATGCCACTTTGACAAATTAGTAAGGCCTTTTGATTGAAAGTTGAAATGCTACTAAATGAAAAACAACACACGCATATATGACAATTGCTCTCGCACTTTTTGGATAACCATTCCATCCAAGCCAAAAATATGGGCGAAACCCAAAGATATAGCCCTTATAGGGTTGGGATTGGGCGATGGATCGGATCGTATGCATGTGGATTAGTGGATATATTTCTCAACCCTCACCCGATTCACCATTCGACCCACCAACCACCTGTTATTATTAGGCCTGGACTCGGGCCGGTTCGGGCCCGGTTCGGGCCCGGTTCGGGCCTGGGCCCGGCCGGGCCTCGGGCCAGGAAAGTTGGGCCCGATCCTGAACCGCCGGTGGGCGGTTCCGGGTCCGGTTCCGGGTCAAACCGGGCCGGGCCGGGCCTAACCGGTTCTAATTTTTTTTTGGCTCTTTTATTTAACCCCCAACCCCTCCCCCTCAACCCCAAACCACCCCAAACCACCTCAAATGGCCCAAAATACCCAATCCAACCCAAAACTTAAAAAAAATCAAAAAAAAAAAAAATTAAAAACCGGCCCGAACCGGCCGGGCTGGTTCACCAAAAAGTCAAAAATTGGGCCCGAGCCCGGACCGCCCAGCAGCCGGGTAGGGCCGAACCGAACCGGTGGACCCACCGGGCCCCGGGCCGGGCCGGGCCGCCCGACCCGAGTCCACCCCTAGTTATTATCATAAGTTTCCTTAGTCTCAACATACTAATGTAGACATGTAGTCAAGTAAAGTTATACATTTTCCTCTAAACATACTAAGGGAGTGTTTTTGTTTGCTTAAAAAAAGCACTTTGGAGCTTTTAGATTAAAAAAAAGCAATTCTAAGTGTTTGGTAACCCCAACTTTGACTTAAAAAAAGTGCTTTAAAACCAAAATCTAAAAGCTACCCTAGCCCAACTTTTAATAGCTTCTAGGTAAAGTTGTAAATACCCCCAACTTTATGACTAATGATAATGGCAAATAAATCCCCTAACCCCCCAAAATAACCCTCAAATATACCATCACAATCACTTTTTTATCAAACACTCCAACTTTTCCATTTTAATTAGAATCACTTTTATTCCCAAACACTACCAACTTTTACTACAAACAGTGGCGGACCCAGAAAAACAGAGTCACGGGGTCCCTATCTAAATGTAATTCTAATTAATACTCCCTCCGTCCCTATTATATCTTCCAAATGGGTTTGGCACGGAGTTTAAGATAGTGGGTATTGTGTGGTGGAGAGTTGTGCAGAGGAGAGAGAAATGTGTAAGAATTGTTGTGAACCACAAATTCCGGCCAAAAAAGGAAAGTGGAAGTTTTAATTGGGACGGACGAAAAAGGAAAGTTGGAAGTTTATTTAGGGACGGAGGGAGTATATAATTAAACAAATAAGATGGTAAAAAAATGCAGCATCGATCTTAAAAGGGACACGACATGGTAAACAAAATGTAGCATGTGAAAGCCATATTCCCAAAACACATCACCAACAACTTCCCACTCATTCTTAAACAAATAACATGATAAACAAAATGCAACATTATATTTTTGGCAGTAGTGTATTTAAACCATTAATGTTCATCAAACCAGCTTGAAACAAATCTACGTCTTTTGCCGCCAATTACCTTAAAAGGGAAATCATGATCCCGAAGGTGAAATGCCCTTTTTTGAATCTAACTGCTGTGTACCACGTCTTGAACATTAGGATGACAATCAAGATTTTTTTTATCAATCTAGGATCAACTTCTAAAGATTCAAAATCAACATGTTGTTTATGTAAATTATAAGCCAAATTAGTTTCACTTTCATCAATTACTTGATCTAATTCTTTTTTTATTAATGACAAATCATTTGAATTAACATCTTAACTACTCCCGATCCTCCAAATTTTTTTAAATGTGGGTACACTATTAAAATATTTTTTCACCCTAAATCGTAAAATATTGAAAAAAGAATCATACATACACAAATTTAATAATGAGAACATTCTCTAAATAGCACTAAAACATGGATAAAATTCATAAATATCAAAATCAATGTTTTATTCCCAAAATAGGACTCATTCACTCCTAATTTTGGAAAATATAGTCAAGTTTTTATTTTAATAGGACTAAATAAATCTCATTTGAAAATAAAACATATTTCGTCCTGTTTTTGAACTTTGTATATGTTTTAGTTGTATTCTATTTAATAATTTAATCTTAACATTCAAATAAATTTTAGTAATTAATCCCAAAATGAATTATGCAAAGGTTAAAATTCAATAAAAGTAAAAAATGAACAAAGAACTAAGCAGGGGATTATTTTCAAAAAAAAAAAAACTAAGCAGGGGATTCATTAGGAATTCAAATTCAATACGGATGGTTTAATTTAAAGTATAAGTTCAAAGAAATTAATATGCAAAAAGATTAAATTTAAATGAATTATGCAAAAAGACAAAAAGGGAGTTTTAAAGTATAAATTTAAATAAATTAATATGCAAAAAGATTAAATTTAAATGAATTATGCAAATTAAAAAGACTAAAAGGGAGAGGAGCCTTACAGGGAATCGATCCCTGCACCCCCGCGTCAGGAGAAAGATTTTTCCACTAGCATTCACCCGTTCCGCTGCATAAGTCAATGTGTTCTAATGTCGCTATTCGTATAAATATACAGATACTAATTAATTTATATAAAATACTAATAATATATAGGTATTGTTTTGGAAGTCCACGGGGTCCCGGGACCCCGTGGGACCCTTAGTGGGTCCGCCATTGACTACAAATCACTTTTCCAATAATCTCTTAAAAAAATCACTTTTAAAAAGCACAAGCAATCACAAACACTCCCTAAATCTAAACATATTAGAGCGCCCATTTATTTTAGAGAAAATGGTCAAATGAGGTTTTTTACTATTACAGTATTATGAAATCATCACATAAAGATATGTACTCAATAAAGTGTCATGTTTGTACGGAGAAAAGGGTCAAATAAGGCCTTCTACTATTATGAAATCGTCACATAAGACCATGTACTCAATAAAATGTCATATAAACGCATCTACTTAATTATAAAAAGCAATCAGATGAGTCCAAATGACCCGTTGACAACCTCTTAATCACGACTTTAGCTCACATACATGTCATTATTTTTATCTTGTATTTAAGTCAACCATAACTAAATATTCCACATCAATCATATAATATATTTTAAAAAGATAGTCAAATGTACGCTAAAATCAGGATTACGAGGTTGTCAAACGGTCATTTCGACTCATTCGACTGTTTTTTATAAGTAAACTTACTTATATGACGCTTTATTGAGTACATGACGTTATGTGACGATTTCATAATATTAGAAGGCCTTATTTGACCGTTTTCTCTATGTGTACGTTTACTTATAAAAAGCAAACATATGAGTTTTAAGTTCTAACGACCTGTTGACAACCTTGTAATCCCGATTTTAGCGTACGTCCGGTTTTACAATATTCTAAAGTGTTCTGTTTTTGTTGAAATGACACTATATATCAATTTAACAATGCTCACACAAGTTCATTTTCTAGCCATTTTCTGGTTGAATTAGGCTGAGTGGGAGTCACTGGTAGTGTAATAATTCAGTTATTAGCTACTTGTGAGTCGTGATAGTTATTTGAGGCCTCGATCAAATATTTGGTCTAGTGGTAAAGCAATAATTCAATGCACATCTACAATCTATTACGGAGTATGTCCGTAATTGGTCCTAAGATTTCTCTGCAACACTTACAACAGTTACAAGGATGAGGTCAAGTTTGAACTCATTCTAGTTAATGTTAATTTTAACACAGAACAAATAATATATAGTACGTTAGAAGTTCCTGCAAAAAATCTAACATTGTACGCATTTAAATTTACATTTTCTATAAACATCGAGTGAATCAAGTTACGTAGCAAACTAGCAATATTAAAAATAAAAATAAACAAATAAAAAGAAATAGGGAAAAAGGTCAGATTAGCCCTCGAACTTACATAAAAAGGTCAAATAACCCCTTATATAGGAGGCTCTGTCCGACCGTCTCCATTTGGGGCGGTTCCTGGTGGAATTATTTGATGAATTTTTTTAGCATCCTATTTATCAAGTCTAGTGTACTCATACCAAATTTCAGATAAAGTTTCAATCGGGAAAGCATTCAAATGAATTCTTGAAGATAATCGCGCAGTTAAAAGCGTAGTTATCTTCAAGAATTCATTTGAATGCCTTCCCGATTGAATTGTTAGCTGAAGTTTGGTATAAGTAAACTAGACTTAAAGAATAAGATGCTCAAAAAATTTCATTAAAAAATTCCATCGGGAACTACCTCAAATGACTACGGCTGGACAGAGCCTCCTATATAAAGACTTATTTGATCTTTTTATGTATGTTTGAAGGCCTATTTGACCCTTTTCCTAAAGAAATATAACAAAGAATAAACCAATATGGTGGAGGTAGAGGAGGTCCTTCCTGGGCCCTGGGCCAGTGCAGATTCAAATAAACCCTTTAAGAAATACGGAGTATTTAAAGGTATATTTTAGCCCCACATATGACAATTTCGGCCCAATGCCCTTTAAATGTTGGCCAGACAAACCCATGTATGGAATCTTATTCTGCCAGTCAAACTATCTACTTCTAAATAGCAACCACACGTCAAACAATAAAAAGAAAATTAATACCTGCACGGGTAGCTCAATTGGTCGAGTGGTGGACAATTTGGATCAATGAATCAAAGTCCGAATTCCCGCAGCGACTGGGTGGAGGTTACAGAACTTAGAATAAGGTTGGACCTCTGGTACACACGAATGTATAGCCTACTGTCACTTTGCTGACTGAGTCACCGTGACTTACTCCTTCACCATCCTGTCAGGGTGTGAGGGCTCGTGGGGTGGGAGATTCCACCTTTTGGATCAATAGAAAGAAAATTAAAGAAAGAATAATAAAGATTTGAAGCCAGACTTTTGACACGGATAACTACGTAAGTAGGTATTATCTTATCTTGGTAAATCATTTTATACAATTTAAATTTTAATAGATCTTTCCTTGTTTAGGACTTAGATATATTTTAATGTTTTTGTTATGTGTTTTCATACCCTTATTACAAATTAATGCATATTTTTAACAAGTTTAATATTTTTCAATTTTTGTCCATCTTTTGTGCTTTACTACTCCCTATTTGGCTATTTGTGTTTGTTGAAAATCAAGTTTGAATTATTAATATTATTATTTTTACCATTATCATCATTATTATTATTACTATTATTATAAGAAGCTATAAGTTTAATGTAGATGTTCTAAATTTTGAATAGTAATAGATTTTCCAATCGGTTTGGATTTAATTCAAGTAAAATATACTCCGTATCATTTAGAAAATTATATTTCACTTTATAATATTTAGTTCAAATCCGGCCCACTCCTATTTTCTACACCGGCCCCGACCCTGAATACAAGATGCCGGCCCCGACCCTGAATACAAGATGCTAAATATTGAAGATTATCATTTTAGTATAATAAAGAAATACTCCTCATATAAAATTACTAGCAAGGATTATTTGGTGAAGGCAGAGGAGCTAGCGGCATTGGAAGAAGAGGCGAAAACAGTGACAACGGGTGGAGGTAGAGGACCTGATTCACGACATATAGGTGGTCGTCGAGCTTCGTGGCTCCTCACAGTCACGCACTCTCTCCTTCCTGCAATGAAGTTTCCGATTTGACTTACACACATATTTATGTAGAGTGAAATTTGTTTTGACTTTTCAAGTTTACCTTTACTTTATGTCAAATCAAACAAAAAGTGGGTAAAAAGTAACTTTTGGGATAAAAGTAGTTTCCTTTTATGAAAATGAGAAGTTCTTTTTTAGACATCCATAAAAGGAAAATGAGAACTTGTTATGGGACGGATGTAGTATATTGGGTTGTCGCAACTTCGCAAGGGTCATGTAGTGACGTATTTAGGATACATCTATAAATATTACTCCCATGCTCACTTGCTAACTTCTCTAGAATAATTTAAGAAAAAATCTAAATATCCTAGGACACTTTCACGCATGCCTTGACACTCGCTAAGAGATTAACACGGTTCGGGAGCCGTATGCTCACTCGTTTTGGCAATAGTTCAGAAGCATGTCGCATGAGTGATAAGTCCGTATTTTGAAACGCATTTGATGTGTGTTGAGATCGGATCTTGATGGTTTTCCAAGCTTTAAGGCATTATAAGTCTCAATTTTAGCTCAAGTCATAGTTTACTGGGCGTTGGTTCGAGATTGGTATTTTTGGAATCAAAATCAGGGAATTTGAGACTAGCGTCGGCGCTTGAGAAGCAATCAGGACGAGTCGAGATGCATTCGAGAGAGTATTGAGAGTTTTAGAGGTCACCGTGAGATTCACGATGAATTTTGATGACAAAAGAGCTCGATTTGGGATGGATCACGGGACTAAACGGGGACTTAAAGAGCAAGAAACCGAAGAAAATGATGATTTAAAGCCACGCACGATCGTGCGTATAGGGACTCACACCGTGCGTGGCAGTAGCTGCTTGGCAAGTTGGATTTTCGTGCACAATCGTAGGGACGCTTGCCGTCAGGGGCGGATCTAGAATTTGCATTCAGGTGGGGCCAAAATTTAATTAAATAAGGTATATTACAAAAAAGGGAAAATGGAAACTAATAATCCAACCTTTTAGCGGTCTTCTTACAATAGTCCCACCTTTTCATTATTCATGAATAATCCAACATTTGCACCTCATCTTCATTCACTAGTCCCTGACCGTTTGATGGTCTGTTGTTCCAGGTTATTTTCTTATCTTTTCAAACCATTATACCATAAATCTCACCTTTCACAAAGATAATATTTTGCAAAGATAAGAAAATAACTTGGAATAGCATTCCATTAACCGGTCAGGGACCATCGAATGAATATGAGGTGCAAAGGTTGAATTATTCTTGAATAACGAAAAGGTGGGACTATTGTAAGTAGACAGCTAAAAGGTTGGATTATTAGTTTCCATTTTCCCTACAAAAAATGTCAAAATGGCAAAATATAGTTAAATAATATTACCGAAATATCAAATAAAAAATAAATACTACAGAACCGACAATTTAATGATCTTAAAAGTCATAGATACCGAATCAAAATTGTCTCGCTCACTGAAATATTCAATACCAATTTTCAAGTCATATTCTCCAAAACCAATTGGATTAATTAAATTTCTCCCAGTATAGA